TCTGTACTAAAATTTAAAGAAATAAAGTATTTTATATTACTAGTGGACGCCCGCGACTTCGTCCGCGTGGAAGTCGGTATCCCGTGGGAGTGAGAAGTTTTCCCAGTAAAAAGTACCCTATGTGTTATTCTGATGTATAACCTATATTGCTGTAAAGTTTTATCCAAATCCGTCCAGTAGTTTTTTCGTGAAAGAGTAACAAACATCCATACATCCATACTTACAAACTTTCGCCTTTATAATATTAATAGGATTTTTTTTTAATATACAAAAAATATGCTAACTAATCATGTTCGCTAGCTTTGATCCGAACTTTGCAATTTGTTTGCAGGCAATTCAACTGTGGTAAATCTTAGTCGGTATGATATGTTATTAAACAAATATAATTAAAGTGGGAATTGGGACATGGAACCGTAAAAAAGAAATGAAAACAAGACAAATGAGCAACAAGTTTTTATTTTTCAGTAAATTTTAACAATAAATTACATATTCTCTCTCTTTAAAATATTACAATAATAGGTTTTGTATTCCATGTTTTGGTTACTAATATTGCTTACCTAATGATGCAGACATTCGATGTATCGTCTTGTTTCTCTACTTAGATATTTTTAAATCATCATAACCTAATGGATGGTGTAGCATAATCTTTATATTTCTGGCAATAGATGGCGCTAGAAATTTGATGATTATATTTTACACTCATGAAAATTTCCATATTTTTAATTTATATTTTTTTGCAACTAGTGATCAGCTAATTGTCCTAACTCTACCATAAACTTTGAATATTATTATGGTGTTATCATAAATAGTCTTACCTATTTATGATTATTATATTTTTGATCAATTTTGCAATCACAATGCTATACTGAAATATATTATTTATGATTATTTAACATCCAGCAAAAGAACATGGTAGGGTGTATACTATTTTTCATGGTATTTTAAATAATTTGCAGTTTTTCAACATGCTTGGTCCGTGTTACATTTTATAAATTGGGGTGCAAAGATTATTTTGCTTTACGTATTTAATACAACGCGATAAAAGATTTTTTTTTCATAACACAATGTACATGGACGTTTTCGTGATAAAAAAATCATCGTCGGCGAAAGGTCGAAGTTGTGACGAGCAGCGACACATTTTTCGTCAGATATGCACCAATTGTTAACCTTGCGCATTACATAAATGGTATGCCATGTATACATACATACTAAAATTTCAAAAACGGTTTGACGGATCATCCGTCGAATTTGCACCAGCCTTTATTTCCACAGCACAAGCAACATTTTGCATCGAAATACCGAACTATCAATAGGTATTTCTTATATTTGATGGGCTATACTGACACTTCTGGAAATGAAATATAATGAAAGAATTTTTGAATAACAATATGTCAATTTAAACAAAGAAAGTTACTTTAAATACAAACATAATATTTAGCTGTAAACGGAAACACAAGAATGACTATAACAAATCGTGACTAGATATTTCATTAAACATGCAATTCAAAAACCAGCGCCATCTATGGACGACTAAAAATAACATACATAAATGTGACGTCATATTTTAATATTTTTAAGCAATATATATAGTAGCAAGTTAAAAATATAGTAGTATTTTACAAACAAGGTATGTCTTACTTTTTTATTTACAATATAAATATATATTATATAAACAAGTTCTGTTATAGGTATTTATACATATTCATACGTACAGTCAACAGCCTTAAGTTCTATAAACATGTCAATTTTGTCTACTTTTTCGTTTAAAAATCTTAATAGATTAAAGGTAGAATTCAAAATCGTTCTAGGAAAAGACATTGGAATAACTTGGACTTATAACTTTGTGTAATTTATAGTCACAGAAATAACTCTAGGTACAATTTCAAGTATTATTCGTTATATTACAGATGGTTTAATTACAAGAAAATATTACAATATAATAAAATCCATTTTGGTAAAACATTTTGTTGAAAATATTATTTTTTAATATACATTTAATCTCCTTTTAGACCAAATTATTAAATATTTTATTCCAATTTACCGAGCTTTTTGTTCAACATAAATAAACGTTATTTAAGGATGCGTAAGCTTACCATAGAAATAGGGTCCCAATTTATACGTACTTGGTTCATAATATTATATTTAAGTTAACATGATTAGGTACATGGAATGGACAATGGAATGAAGTGAGAAACGATGATAAATTAATGCCTAATGTCTTTTCATTGTCTTTAACACAACTACAATTATAAAAGAGAAAAATAAAACATTGATCCTTAAGGTCTTCGAAAGCAACATAAAAATCACTTATATAATTAAATAAATATATTTCTAAAGTCTAATTGAACACCAAAATTTCGCATTTCTAGTACAATATTCTTACGAAGCAAATAATCTAGTGTTTGTTTACGAATAGTACAGTACCACAATTTTATGGTTGGCATCGGAATAAATTCGTCTATGCAGAAGAGAGCATGCTTAATCCGATGGAATAAGTATACCAACAAACTCGAAATATAGAATTTAATACGTTACTTACATTCGTACTATAACTTCAGACTGTCAAGGTGTGACACTATACACGGATATTGTTATTAGTCACGCAAGTCTCAACCAATAGCAAACAAAGAAAGCGTTAAGAATGGCTAAAATATTACGCACCTTTAAAAAATTAATTATCTGATCAATAATTACATTGGTGGAACTTATAATCTTGATTCTAACACTTGTTTACAATACGTTTCTTATACCCCACAACCTTCTGATTTCCAGATCTGATACTGGAAATAATTAGAATTGATGCACACATTATAGAGCTAACAATAATCTTTCTCGACAATCGCTTCGTAAGAATACCGGACACTAAGGCACTCGTTGCACCACTGATTATTAGCAATAAAACTATTACTAGTTCAGGTATAAAATTAACTGTCAAAGAAGCTGGTGCGTAAAACAAAACGCTTAAACATATAACTACCATATTACGTATCTAAAGCGTAACCATGCCCTCTCAGTCAATGGGAAGTACCTTTTTAAAAACATCACAAACAAGCAGCCCACAAACAAGCACAAAATGCAAGTGATAAAATAGTTTTCAGGTATTGAAATATATAAAAATAATCCCCAAAATGTTGTTGTAATATTTAAAACTATAATATATAAAATTATCTAATATTTAAAATTTATTGCATAATTTTTGGAAAATATGTATTTATATGTTAATTATAAGGTATATGGAAACTAAAAAATATATGATTAAATATAATTTATTTTGTAATAACGTGAAAACATTTTTTTTTAAACAAAGTAGTAATGCAGTTATATTAGGTATATTTATTTTTAGTAAAATAAGGTTTATTTGTATAATAATAGCAGATGCTATTTTAGTCAACAAAAATAAATGACAACAAATCTTAACAATAACAATCAAAAGCAACAAAAAAAAAAATAACAACACTTGTCTGTGATCTCAACACAACCCAACCCAATAAGAGTACCAGGGTTTATTTGTTAAGTGTAATGATTGTTGACCGCAATTACTTCATTGAAATGATTATTCAGGCGCTTTATCAATTTACGGGTATTATATCGAAGGAGGTAAATTGTGCGGCGTGAAACTTAAACAGGGCCTAGTGTCATCCGCGCTTGACGTCTCCCTACAAATTTACTTCCCGCCATTTGCAAATGCACTTTTTTTCATTAATAAGCACAGTTAAGAAATCAAGAGATTTATTACTATACAAAATTTTGTCGTTGTAAAACTTTTTGGTTTTGGATTTTTAAACCACACCTAAGTGTTATATTTAATTGAACAACATCACCAAAAATATTACACCTATATTACCTATCTAGTGATAGTGAATAACAAACGCTCCTATTATTTTTAATATTGTAGTGATTTGTAATTTATGTAAATGTTGTTAATCGGTAAATGACGTTCTAAACGGATCCCTTGTTTTAATTAAGATTTTTTCATTTGATTTACAAATAATATTCATAAGGATAAGTGTTTTTTAATTTTCACCCCGATTATACCTGCTCAGTGGTCGCCATATTGAGTATACTTACCTATCGAGCACTGTACGCACTAGTTGGCGCGGCGCTGCTGGCGACTTATCCTAGGTTAAAACCGATTTTGAAATAGATTTTGAGTACATCGTATCTAGAGGAACTTTATTTTATGATGCGTAAGAATAAAAATATTATAACATTGGAGAGTTAGGCAAATCCCGAGGAAAATTGTACTTACCAGTCGAAACGATCTTACAACTTTCAACTTTAAAGTCCGTTTGAAATTTATTTTAACTTACTCATATACAAATTTTGGAAACTGTTTTCACCTTATTTAACTTCGAGGTGGAATTTTAATATGTATAGCTATTCTTGATACGTAGGGGTACTACGTAATGAGACGAATGTATCCTACAAATTTCAAGTCTCTGCGGCAAGCATATTAGGCTGTCTCGTTGTGTCTAAATCAGTCGGAGCGATTGAACAAAAATTCTTAATGTATTAGATAATAATATTTGAATAAGTGTATGATTAGATATCTTTATAAATTGGCACAAATATTTCTCGACACTCGCCTTGCATTTTGTGCCTCAATTTACATAATAAAAACATGCAACTATGTACTTTTTTGGTCACGTTGACAAATTATGGTTACATAACGGTTTCATTCCTTTTGATCGTCAACAGATAGCACTATAACATTATCGTCATTTTGTTACCGTCGAAACAAATTACATAATATTGACCAGACAAATTAAGGTTGAATATCGATCGTAGAAAGTTAATGTCGGGAACTAGCAGCCTTACCGCATTTATACAATAGTAAAATGCAGTAGACCAATGGCTCTAATTCTGCTGATATTAGTGTAAATATGACGAGTCAATGGCGCTTCAATAATACAGTTCTTGTTCTTAGATCACAAAACAAAAATATCTGTCACCATTGATTTGCAAAGAAACCTTGCACTAATATACAATTGGATCTCAGGTGGGTAGTAGGTAAACGGCAAAATGTCATTAACTGAGTCACCATTAAGACACGAATATTACGATAACATTAACAGAATCGACGCCCTGCCGATTGGCATTGAACTAACAATAACTTTTTACAATCAATTTTGTTCCCAACCCAGTGATCTGTCCACCGCCATTTTCCACTGTTTGTATCTCATATCTCTTTCATCGTCAGAGATACGTGGCACGTAAGTTGTTCCACTTGTCATCGGAATAGGATTTATTTGTGCCGTATTCTCTATACCCCAATAGGCAACTAGTGCCGCGCCTAAAGCAGTACTCTCCGTAAAACCAGCTCTTATAACGTTGATCCCGATCAAATCCGCCTGCATTTGCATCACTAGTGCATTTGATGTCATACCACCATCTACCTGGGGAAATATGACGCGTTTATTATACATTTAAGTTTTTTTTTTAATAATAATAGTACTTAAATCGGCGATGAAAAAGGCTACTACATTTGTTCACTACTGTACCAGCCGGCTTAGCATGAACGTTCTTAGCGAGGACTCGATACGTGATAAACTATTACCGTCCCGTTCACATTTCAATGATGTGAGTGAGATAATATTGTAACGAGGTCCGAGCTAGATTTTAATGGTAGTCGAATGAAAATGCTGGGTAAGTTTGATAAGTATAATTTCGGTAAAAAGAAAAAAATGTAATAACAAAATACAAATAATTTAAAAACAAACAGTTATGGGATGTTATGGGATTTATGATAATTCGGATAAATATAACTAAAACACTTAATTAGATTAAGTTAGGTAATGTGCCACATCGATTTATATCATAGCACAGATTTTATATTTACATATTACTTTATAAAATATTGATAATTAAAATTGAAATTAACATAGATTCGTTTTCGTGCCGGGAGATTTTTTTACGAATTTTGATTCAGAATGTGTTTTTAAAAATTTTTAATTTGTAAAAGCGAGTAATTATGTTGAAATGATCTTAAAGATCAAAAACGAAAAGTTTGAATGCGAGAATTTAGGAAAAAATAAACGTTGTAGTACGACGCACCGTTAAGATATTTATCACATGTCGCATGGTATGTATCATTCATGCTACGAAGGCTGCAGATTAACAAACGACTTAAATATTACCTATATAAATGTTAATTATTATCAATTTTTAAATATGATATTTCATTTTTTTTTTTTTTTGTAAAATATGTTCTACCATACGAGACCATTATAAAATTACATACTTACCTTTATTAAATATTAATAAAATACTTACACTGCACGGTCAAATGAAAAACATAAAACAATCAAAATATGACTACATATGTGCGATCTGTGCGCTTACGTTCAATAAAGTATGACGTCACATCTCATAAGTTTTATGGTGTATAAAGGGATATTTTGAATCTGTGATGTAAGATTTCAGTTGAACGTTTTACGAAGATGCCAAGATATTTGTAGACTCAAGCAAAGGGAAATAGGATGTGTGATCATAGCACACATTTTATTTCATTACTAGTTTCTTTTTTGTTTGATACACATAAAAGTGAAATGAGACGTAATAGCAAAACTAGACAAAGAAACGGGAGATGATGGCAGAATAATGCTTCAAAAATATTTATTTCACAATCAACTTTAGTAAAATTACTAGACAACTTCATTAACAAAATTATTTTATCAATAAATCAATTTTGACGATTTTTTTCAGGCTTGTGTCTCAATATTTGTTTTTGAAACAAAAGTTATTTCTTCATATTTAGGCTCAATTGCCTCGCTTAAATGTAAGTTTAATGTTATTTGGACTATGTTTTTTATGATCACAATTTCAAAAGAAGATCAGTAGCTATATGCTACGTTTGTCATATTAAGAACAAATAATCAATCTTGTCAATATTTTAAGATTGTTATGAACCAACTGTAATGATTATGATTTTTTAAATTTAGTTTCATAAAATCACACCAAAAGGTCCTTCGAGACGGACAATAAAAGATTTATTATTATTATTTCGAGTTCATCCATGCTTCACAAGGCACATCAAACCATTGGCTACACATGAATATACAAACGTTATCACTAATTAATCCACACTTGGCTTGTGGTAGGTAATGGTCAATTCTCGGCATTAAATTCTATTTGTAGAAGTCTATACCCAAGAATAGGGACATAACAAGCTGATGATGATGTAATAATAATTACCTTCATTAATTGTAGCGGTATACCACAATCCTCGTTCATAGCGTCTAAAATGTCTCGTACTTGATAACACACGGCTTCAAGTGCCGCTTTTACTATATGATTGGAATTCGTGTCTTCTGTGATTCCGCATATTACACTGTAAAATTTAAGATAAAACTAAATGATCTATCATATAATATTATAAAGAGGCAAAGTTTGTGTAACTCATAAGAATTAACATGACAACGAAAGCCTACATTGGGAAATTTGGAATAGTTCATATAATTTATTCAAGATAATATGTACATTTATTTATGCATCAGAGGCAATGTCATGTCCTATTTTAAAAAATAAATTTCTTTAATTATATTGAATACAATAGGTCTTCAAGTGTCATGTAAATTCGTACTAGTAGTAACTACTTAAGTAGTAATTCGCAGTAATCTTTTGAAATACTGATCTGAACATGAGATTAGCTCCATTTTAAATTAAATATTCCTTTTCCTAGTTATATACGCTTACCGAATTTCAGTTCAATTGAAAACTGAGAATCACAAGCAAAATGGAACTAAATAAACGCTTAAAATGATTTCTTGCATAAAACCTTAATTTCAAAGTAACTCAAAAGACTATCAATTAATTTTAATCAATTTAAACAAATAATATTATTAAAAGAATTCGATTTGAGTAGTTATCAAAAACTGTAATTTTTTCCTTTCTAAAAAAAATCATGTTTGGTCCAGTCTCTTAGTTAATGATGTAATATTGTCATTAAAAATTCAAGTTTTGTTAGGTTCAATTTATGATGTAGAGTTTAAGCTGAAAGTTACTGGCCAAAAAAGCAGTTCATGGGATGGGTGACCAAAAAGGTACTATCTTGGGCTCCTCTGTATTTCGTTAAGTATAGCTTTTGGTTCCGACTACATCATTCGTACCCACCAATCCTCACTGGGCATATGGCGGTGATGGCCATATGCCCAACCACGATCACGATCCACCTTAATCAAAGACTTACCCACGTGCATCTTGACGCCAGTAAGGTGCATACAATCCACTGAAAGCTGGTACAAACACTACACTTCCATTTTCAGTCGCTTTCTCAGCTAGATCTTGAGACTCTTTTGCGCTCTCCAAAAGACCTAAATTGTCTCTAAGCCAACCTAATGCGGCCCCAGCAATGGCTACCTTAAATAAAATTTAAATTTACATATAAATACAGTGCATATATGACAAATATGTAAAGCACACATAACCGACATATATGCAAGCAAAAACTTCTGCTCAGATATAAACAGAAAATCAAGCTGCAATCAAGTTTTTACTAAGAAATAGAATATTTATCGGAGTACAATTGTTCAATATTTTAAAACAATAAATTACGAATTAAATAAACATATTCAATTATCTACTGATACATGCTAAAACTAGTCAAGACAAACTTTGAGGTTCTGTATATTTAAAGTTGTTTGCTTTATTTTACTAAAGAATTCTAAACAATGTTATAAATAAATAAGTTAAAGGATTGTCTACTAAACTTGCCAACCATTTACATATAAACACTTTTGTTGGTGGAGCTAACAACCACACCATTTGGGCTTAAGACACATTGAGCTTGGCTTTCATTGATCACATTTATATTTTTATTAGGTTTAATTTTTTTCTCATGAAAAATAAGCTTACCGATCCTTCTAAAGCATAATGCGGTGGATTTTTACTACCTATCTGGTATGCGACAGTAGTAAGCAAGCCTCTACTGGAGTTGACACGAATGTCACCTGTGTTATACAACACAAAACAGCCTGTTCCATATGTAGCCTTTGCTTGGCCTTTTTGAAGACACATTTGTCCGACTAAGGCGGCTTGTTGGTCACCCAAGCAACCAGATATTGGTATACCTTTTAGAGGTCCATCAGAAATATATCCGTATACCTGAAAAATGAATATCAGAAATTAAATATTGGTTAGAGAAAGGAATGGATAAATATTTCCACCACTAAGTAGGCCATACCAGTCATTGTTCTCTCCAATATAAAAACTGGGTCAAAATGTACTTATAGGTGTTGCTAAACAACTACATAAGTGCATTTTAACCCAATTACAACAATTACAATGAATGTATCTTTTTTTTTTAAGCTTGCATTTAAAATTTTTACATATTCACTATATTGTCAAATTATATTAATCAAGCTATGGTATATAGAGTATTATTATATTTTTATTATAAGTTTGATGATTATTAAAGAATATAATAAAATTGCCTCTTACTTCTGAGCTAGATTTTATTTCTGGCAATACAGACTTTGGGACTTCAAAAAACTTTAACAGCAATGGATCCCAATTTAAATTTTCAATGTTCATAAGCATTGTTCTTGATGCATTTGTCACATCTGTGATGTGTCTGCCTCCATTTGGGCCACCTGAAAAACAAATATTTTATTATATTTTAATTTTCTTAGTGGCACATTTTCATGTAACAGAACTGGCTGAAAGAAATTAGCATTTTGTTAAACAAAATTAACAAGTAACACTTGATGCTAATGTTTAAAGGTAACAAGGTCAACACCTTGTGGTGGTGTTGTAAACAGAGTGGAATTTCAGATATATTACCACAATATTACAAACCTAACCAAAAATAACTAAAAATATCAGCAACATATAAACTAGCAAATATAGTTCCTTTACTTTTATTTTACAAAGAAATTTTGTTTAAGGTGGAATCTCAATTATTTACTGTAAGGTCAACATTTTAATCCCTTTCTTGATGAAGACAATTTTTTTATATAGCATATATAAGAATATATGAAAGTACATTAATATTATAGGGCTAAGAGGTGTAAAATAGATTTTACAATACAATATTTAAAATGAATATGAATATTTTGAACACAAAAAAAAAAAATAATTATAAGAGTACTGTCTGGTATTCAACATGATTTTGAAAATGCTACCTGTTAAGTTCCAAATAATCCAGGTATCAACTGTTCCAAAGCAGCAAGTACCCTTTTTCATGGAATTTTTTACAGCATCAACATTGTCACTTAGCCAGCGCAATTTTACAGCACTGAAGTATGGTGACAAAGGCAATCCACATAATGGCTGTAAAGTTACATAAATAACTGTAAAAATGGGTTTACTTGTTAGTCTTTTTTATGAGAAGGAAGGCGATTAGACTATTCAACTAACACAGAAATAACATATAGGTAGTGCACAAAATTCAATAATATTTGTTAATATTTGTTGTGGTGAATCATGGCATGGTTTTTGTAAATGTCATTACTCCTATTAGAGCTGGTGAGTTTCTTGCTCGTTCTTCTTATCAGCCAAAAGACGTCCTGAACAAGCGGTAGGGAAAAAAATGTTGGACGATTCAAAAGTACTTTTAAGAAGTCTATTTGAATAAAGATTATTTTGACTTTGACTTTGTTCATGTTTTTTCTTTGTCTCCTTTTAACCTGCTATATAGACAGATAGGCACTTATTTGCTCATACATAATTATCGATATTCAGTTAGCAATATCGGTTCTAATGCTAGGGTGGGGAAAGGTGGTCTTTTTGCTAATAGTGAAGTCTTCCAGACAACTTTTGATACCTATGTTTAATAATTGGAAAACACCGGAGATAGTGTGTAAGAAGAAAAACAAAAATAATATAATAAAAAAAATTAAGTAGTATGATAATGAAGGTAAAATATATAAATAATATCAATAATCACTACATAGTATAAAACAAAGTCGCTTTCTCTGACTCTATATCCCTATGTATGCTTAAATCTTTAAAACTATGCAACTGATTATGATGCGGTTGTTTTTTTTCATAGATAGGGTGAATTAAAAGAAAGTTTTTTATGTATAATACAAGACCACGCGGGCGAAGCTGCTGGCAGAAAGCTTTATAAATACATACATGTTGGAAGTTAAGATATGCTATCTTAAAGATTTTATGCAATTTAAATTTGAATGTAGCAACACATTTTGCAAAGGATTGCTAGCATTAAAGATAAAAAATTAAAAGATGTCTATAAACAAACACATTGCTACTTATGATAATACAGATTATTTAAGGTTTGTTTGTTATTAACATTTTAATACTTAAAATATACTTCTTTGTGATATATGTTGACTTATGTATTGTTTATATATATATATTCTTTATACAAGAACTTAGCCATAGGCAAAAATATGTACTGATTATTTTTTTTCTATATTATCACTAAGCAATGAGGAAGTATTTAGAAAGCACTAAAAAAGCGCCTTCACTCAATGGTGACTCCAGCAAAAGTTGATTTTTGCAGGAAACAAATGGACCAAAGACAGTAATTTCCATTCCTTTAAACTAACATCCTAAAAAACTGAAATATGAAAAGTTCCAAACTAAGATATCAATACAATACTTCCTCATTGTAGTACCTCCATTTCTTGTTATTTGACTGATTATAAAATTATATATTAATATTAGTTGTTAATTATTGCATTTACATGAATAACTTGTCATTGGAATTATCATTATTTGTCACTAAATAATGAGATCTTACAAATGTTTCGAGGCTCTTACATTACTACATGAAGTATTATTTTATTAGTTATTAAGATAAGTAATAAAATAATACTTCATGTAGTCTATTAGAATTTCAATTACAAATATATTTTACAGCCAGTTGTGATTAACACTTTATGCTATATTTATTCTAAAAACTCAAAATATTTACTAGACAATCTTAAAATGTCATATTATTATGATAAGAGTTTATAATCGAGAGATAAGCGGCTTATAAACATGGTTACAGTCCTATAAATAATGCTTATCGTAGCCATATACTCTATATATTTCATCAATCTTAATAAAATTAGCTTTCTGCCAGTGGCTTTGCCCACATGATCCCTATGAAACTGTTATTTGTATATAAATTAATTTCATAATATGGATATAGTTACAACTACAACCTGATTATTAAACAATGGATGCTATGGTAATATTTCAATTCCATATATAATCATTCTGTTTGTGAAAGATTTTTTTTAATCAGTCCTGTAATTTGAGAGCCTGTGTGTTGCAAACGAACAAACAATCAAATGTTTCCTCTTTATAATATTAGTATTAGTATACAATATAATAAGAGTAAGATTGTAAAATTAATTAATTGTAACTATCTATATAGTTTCCCTGATTATTTCAAGCTTCTTCTGTTGGTAATAAATTATACTGGCATTAAAGCTCACCTTCAAATAATTTTTGTTTCTTGTTTTATTTGGTACTGTATCTAAAAGTTTTTCTATAGTAGATGTTGTTCTCATATCCAACCAAACAATGGCATTATGAAGAGGAGTGCCTGTGTTCCTGTCCCACACTATTGTTGTCTCTCGTTGATTAGTAACTCCTATGGCTATTATATCCTGTAATAATTTAAGAATTATACCTACTTGAACAATTTATATTATACATCAAATATAGTTCAAGCAACTGGATTTGTTGTATTATTTATCATTAATATACAAAGTATATTTTTTTATAGTTTTCATCTTGTACACTTTATTTACAAAATAACCATAAAAAATAAAAGAAACCACATTACAACACAGTAATATCTTAAAAGATAATTTATTTTCCATTTACATTGTAATTTTTCACAAATGGTGTAAAGATTATATAAACCAATAATAAATAGCAATAATACAAATATAAGAAAAAAGTCAGTACTCTGCAACATAGTTTATATATTTAATTATGCAACTTTTTATAATATGCATTGGCAGTCAATGAAACTGAATAGATACAAAAAAAATACTAAAAAATAAAAATAAAAATAAAGAATAAAAATTACATAATTTAAATGAAAATTGTTTAAGTGCCTATAAACATACCTTCGGTTTACCACCTAGACTGACAAGTTGTTCTACAGCTTTCTGGATACAAGTTGTTACTACTTCTAAGATAGCATAAGGATCCTGTTCTACCCAACCTTCTTGGGGGAATTTTTGCTCTAATTCTTTTTGATGGTAGGCTATCACCTCTGTCGAATTGGGTTTAAAAATAATAAATCTCGCGCTAGAAGTTCCCTCATCGATGGCACCGACCAATGGACCGAATTTTCCAAAATTTGACATTATTTTGCTCCAGAGATCACAATTATAATCAACTGAATATTTGCACTTTGATCACAATCGCTCAACTTCATACGCGTCAAGCAGAAGCAATTAAAAATAAATTATGAACTGATAATAAAAGATTTGACCGCCCTTTTGGCCCTTTTGACTTTTCCTTAAGCTATGCTATGACAACAACGATTAAGGAAGCGAACTATAATCGCTACATCGATTTATAATCAGTTAATGTATCGTTTTCGTCCCGACTATGTTGTCTGTATGGATAGGAATTTAAATAAAAAAGCGAATATTATTGCTGTTACACATATATGAGTCGTGTTAATATATTAAGCAGAACAACGAATAGCACTCATAAAGAATACATTTAAAACTATTAATTTGAAAATCAGAATCATCTTTAGGAATATATTTTAATATATTTGTAATAGTAATTCCATTTGTTATATGTGTATAATAATCAAAAAGTAGTACAACCATTTCGCAAAAAATTCAAAGGCGGATCGTTTTACAGCTATATTAATCGATAAATATGAGTAATGTTTTGATCAAAAGGTGATAAATTTACGATTGTTAAAATTATAGTGAAAAAATAGATAGCGGAACCAAAAAATCAAATAAAAGGATACATGTTAAAATTTTGTACTATATCTTGAGTACCCTTTATGCCGTAAGAAATATATAGAAGAATAATATAAAGAATACAAGGGACGACTTCCACCTAAATACAAAATTAGACACCGAAGGTACGGTCGGTCAAGAAAGTGGTCTACCAGTTTTGACAACATTTCCCGTGTCTTTAAAGCATCGCTAAAGGCGAATCTTAGAATTGCATACAAACAATAAAAGAGATGCACAATGCTGACGTGTTGTCGTAGAGCACAAATGTTATTTTGACCTTTGCAGCCTATGCATTAGATAATAATTTGCAACAACAAATAGTCTTCACAATATTTCATAAATTTAAAATTTAAGTAGGTCACTTCAAAGTGGAAACTATTTTGTTACGAAAACTCTTTTACTGATAAAGAATATATCACTTGACAATTCATGTCAAATATTTTCTCGGCATTTTCCGTAGGTATTTTCCTAATTAATTTACACTACAATGCCCCGAAATTTATCCATTAACGAAAGAGCACAAATAATCGCATTACACAATGATGGTTTGAATATTAGTGAGATTTCTAGAGAATTAAATGTGTCGGTAAGTATTATTATGTCTTACGTAAGTTTAATGTAAAATCTCAGACCAAGTCCGAGTGTAAATTTTTTTTTTATTTTTTCTGTTCATATTTTATTTTTGATTATAGAGACAAGCTGTCCGTCTTTGGATAAGACGAGAAAGCGAGGAGAGGAATTTGAACGCTCGAAGTCGTAGCGGTCGTAGACCTGAAATATCAGATACTCAGCGAATCTTCATGAGACGGAGTTATGAGGAATCTGGCTTTATACCAACGTGTTATTTTGCCGACATATTTGACGTGACTCTCCAAACCATTAGAAACCATTTACATTACATGGGCTTACATCACAGGTGTTATGCAAAGAAAATTTATATGACTGACGCTCATAGAATGGCCAGATTAAATTTCACCATAGAATATTTGGATTTTGATTGGAGTAACACTGTTTTCTGTGACGAGAAAACTTTTAAATCCAGTCAACACGGGCGTCTACACCTTTGGCGATTAAATAAAACGCGATACACGCAAAATCATGTCGTGCCAAATAGAAAATCGGGTCGTATCTCGGTAAATTTGTATGGATGGATGACTGCTGATGGTGTTGGAGACTTGACCTTTTTGCCACCACGAGCAACGGCATCAGATTATGTTGATGTTCTCCAAAATGCTATGTTGCCATCCGTCCGGAACGTTTATCCAGAAAATGAAATGCGTCAATTTAATTATTTACAGGATAACTGTCCCTTACATAAAGCAAGGGTAACACGTGCTTGGTTTGATGCACATCCGGAAATAAACTTGATACCATGGCCTGCAAAATCGCCAGATCTCAACCCTTTTGAAAATATGTGGGGTCTTATGGTTCAGAGATGGTGTAACCGTAATGAACGAACAGCAGAAGCACTACAAGGGCACTGCAATGAGGTTTGGGAGGAAACACGTGGGTCTGATATCTGCTCAAGACTGGGGGGCTCGATGAGGGAACGTCTCCAAGCTGTTATAGAGGCAGATGGCGGCTACACAAGATTTTATGAATTATAATTTTATAAAAGAATTGTATATATTTTTTAACAACCAAAGAATTAGCATTTTCACTATCTCTTCTAGTTTTAGCCCTTGTCTCGCACTAAGCTATGGGTCGGCGCAATATGTTTTTCGTCGCTATTCATTTCTGTTATCCGTTATCTCAGTATATTCAGACCTATAACACGCATAGCTTCTTACGCATAGCATTTCACTACCTACTGTTTTTTTTTATTTGTATTAAAATATAATTAATCTACATTCTAATGTAGGATATTTGTAGACTATAAGACTTTATTTACGATATTCTAACTCTAAAGTATTTAAACATAGAAACAGATAGACAGAAAAAAAATATTTTTGGCTTCTATTAGTCTTATGAAGGCCGTCCATATATTTTTTTTTCCAAAATATCTTACAAATGTAACCTTGTTACATTTTTATTATAGGTATAGATAATTACTGTCAAAGGTTACGTCAAAATGATGAAGATAGCAATAATGACGTGTACTTGACGTGTCAAAAAATTAATGCTACGGAAAATCAACCTTGTTGTTAGTTGACGTAACACGCGAAATTCAACCTTAGGGTGGTAGACCACTTTCTTGGCCGACTGTACAGAGTAGCAGTATTTTTTTGTAAATATAAAAGGAGCGACTGACAAGATCTTTAATATCCTTAATAAGTACTTACTACTAGTACTTTTTTCACTTCTTTACGAAAAGTGTTATTATACCTACGTTCTCCTAAAGATAGCATCCCTTTGGAGAAACCTGGTATCTATAAGATTGACTGCACTATGGTAGTTCGTATATTGGCCAAAAAAATGAACACTAGCGTGTTTAGCAATCATTCTCATACCTTTAGAAGGTTTAGCAATCAGTACGGCAAAAGTTCGTTGGTCTCGCCACGTTGACGTCAAAGTGGGAGTTGCCGTACTACTTTAGCCTTCAGTGGTATAATTTTTTTAGGTAACAGTTTCTAGTATGTAGCATCAAATTTTTAGTTGTATTTTTTTATTTGTGAGGACCCACCATCTTGATGGTCGGGTATTATTTTATTATATTTTGTACTGACTCGATTAAATCGCTCATATGTTTTAATAATCCACATCCCTTAAAAATGACAATTGACAGCTGTGTAGAAAAAAAATGTCATGACATTTAGAGTTTTTATATATTTATTCTGGCATGGAATTCAAACTTTTAGCAAGCAAAGAAGAATTCAATGAGGAATAGTATTTAAAAATAAAATGAAAGCACCTCCACTAGATAGCGACCCTAGCAAAAAATTGATTTTTGCAGGAAACGAATGGACCAAAGATAGCCATTTCCGTTCCTTTTTACTAATATATGAGGAAGTATTTTAAAAAAACGAAAGCCGTCGAATTCCTTTTAACTAAGATATTAAAAACTGAAATTTGAAAAGTTCGAAACTTAGATATCAATACAAATACGAAAAATTACAAATTAAATACGAGTTGATTATTGAGTTTTGAAAACTAATTTACTTTTAGGCATGAAAGAAAACCGGTAAGATTGTCATGGAAAAATCAAGGAAGTACCGTAGCGACATCTAGTTCGACGTCTGGAACAATTTTTTTTTAATACTGCCTCATTAAAAAGTACGCATTGGGCTAATATTTAAGTTTCTAGACATTAAAATATTTTCTTTGCAATATTTTGGTTATAATTTTCGTTTACCTCACATAAAAAAAAAGTTACTGCCATCTACTCTATGATACAGGAATCTCGTAAAATATGTGCTTTAAAATGCTGCAAAGTGCTATATATTAAATCTCTTCGACGCCATGTGGAGTGTTACTGTCGCAATGAGAAATTCATGAAGAAATAGTTGTCAAACTCAAAATAGATGTCGCTAGGTACTTTGAAATTATTGCGATATATTATAATCTTATATATAGGTATAGTATCCAAATATCGTGTCAGTAACCAAAAAGTGAATACCACTAACTCCATTTTTTGGCGGGTCTTGTCGATAATGGCCTTCGCCGTGTAGGTACGTTTGTCAAGTTGGTGAAGATAAAAATTTGAGTACTATTTTTCATTAAATAAAAAGTAATTTACTGGCGAATTTCTTTATAAATCGTATAAAATAAAAAAACGCTGATAAAAGACCGAAGAATGTGTATAGCATTTAAACATGAATATTGATGAATATAACATGAATATTAAATATTAATTTATTTCATATTTGGTGACTTTTTAGTGAACACTAAAAAGGAGTGATTATAATTATCTTTAATAAACAGGAGAATCTACCAAAATTAACGTCTGTTAGATCTATCTGGCAAAATGATATTTACTTTGTTTTATTATTTTAATTTGTGTATGTGGCTAAATATAAATACTACTTAATAGATTCTACACTATTATAAAACAATATATAGGTAGGTTCGAAATATTTTTTTTAATAAAAAAGATGATGTATTGCTTTATTGGTAGCTTTTCACTATGTATTATTGATAAATAAAAAGTTATTGTATGCATTTCCAACCGAATCAAAAACCTTTATTTTGCAGTTACTATATTACACTACTTTCTACAAAACTGTCACAGTTTTGTAGAAAGTAGTGTTCTATAGCGTGACGTCACGCGACATTTTAACTCAATGTATCGCAGTAATTTAATGATTCCGAATAAAATAAAAAAATAAGTCTTACAATAATCTACCTGACGGGCAAATAAACAAAAATTAATCGTCATGTCTATTGTGCGGCAAAGTAGCTTTTTAACTCGTATAATAACTCGCAAACTGTTGTGATAATTATTATATTTGATCAATTTTGCATTCACAACTCTATATTGAAAAATCCATTTTGTCCCTGGTTCTCTGAGATGGGACTCGAACCCATGACCTTTCGCAATCCGGGCGACTGCTCTAACCACTGAGCTACCTGTTATCACTCATGTCACTCGCTGTTTGCTCTTTATACCTACGCTCTTAGCTCTTTGCTCACGCACACACGATTCGGCTTCACTTTTGTAGCTGTGCTTTGTAGGTGACATGGAATCTGGATAGTAAATAATCTA